CAAATGCAATCAAATGACGTTAGTTTCCCGCTTTGTCGTGTGCCAGAGCAAGACAGCAGGCGGTAGAGAGTGCAAGTGAGCGGGACGGGGCGACATAGAGAGAGAGGCAGAGATATAGCCACCATATCTCCCGACGCTCGAGAGTAGGTCAGTCAACGATCTTCTCCTGGGTTGAGTAAACCTGCCACTCCAACCGGCTTTCTGCGGCCTCCTCTATTTCGTATTCCGAATTCCATATTCCGTATAGCAGGCTTTTTTCCGATCAACTGACTTCCGCATTGCAAAAATACATAAATCTGCCATAAAACACATATCATCGACAATATTGTCAATGCCAAATGTTTAATATACCAGCTTCTATCTGGGATAGATGATGGGTCTAAAGCGGTTTCATTAGTCTGCTATGAAGTATATCATTTTCTAATGCTTTTTAACTTGTTTTATGTGGTTCAGTTCGCTGGGGTGAAGGCCAAAAAGTAATTAGTAAATGCAAGGTGAATAATAGCTATATTAAAACAGTTAGCTTACTTTTGTAAATAAAAGTAATTTCAATATTACTTAGGTAAATCATAACAATATCAATATTGCACAAAACCGTTTATGCTACCACTTGAGAACTCTAGATACAATTACTTTATAGTGTATATTTTTATTATACATATTAATGAATGTATTCATTTTTACACAACCATAAAAACATACAATATTCTTTATAGAAAAATAATCCTATATGTGATTGTCCCAACATTAAAATTTGAATACCAGACTCTTACAGATAATAAGCTCCTTATTTTTTAATAAAACAGCAACAAAGATATAAGTAAATATTAAAAGCCAGAATTACTAAGTACAATTTACCAATGCTTCTTAAGAGTTACATATTTTTTGTTCACAATAGGAATACTCTATATTTAAATCACTTATGCTATGTAACCTATAAACAAACAATTTAAAGATCACCATTCTAATCATTTGGACTAAGATTAATTAAGATTTTATTTTAGAAAGTGATTGATAGTCTTACTTCTCGAAATCAATGAGATTTTGCTTACCCATTCATAATCTGTACTTAACCTGTAATTAAATTATAGTTACAAGAGCTATACCTATAGTGATAATGCAGGTTTCTTATAAAAACAGTTTAAAGCTGGTTTGAATTTATTTGAAGTCTGTGACCCAATAATGCTAGAGTTTACAACCGAGACAGCCAAGTTGTAATTGGACCACATTCCTCGGGGCAAAGCTAACGCATTCAATAATATTACCTGACACCCTCTCTATATGTCTCTATCTTAACCCCTTTCTATGCTTTTTTCACTCTGCGACAAGCCAAACCAACCGCACTAATTGCAACACGAGCCATTAAGCGAGTCACTGGCAATTATCTGGCAACATTTCAAGTCTGGGTTTTGGCCAACAGCTACTTACGGTTAACCAGCAACACTTGGCCAAAGAACGACCTGTTTGCCGCCTTTGATGTGTATTTAAAATGCCCTCCCACGTGCGTTCATATGGGAAATTATGAGCTTCGCTTTGGGTCCTTGGTCAAACGGAACCAAAAGGGATTAATTACCACCGGCACAACAGATGGAAAGCTGGGTAATTTTAAGCTGCTTTGCACATTTTAATTAAACACTGATTTTTCGTCAATGTACCGGCTTTAAATGGGTTCAGCTCCCACGTCACTGGCTTTCCGGGAATCAAGTTTTCAACTCATTCCCAAGGGGCAAATGCATTTAACAGGCTTGCAAAACCATTGACATTTACTCAAAAGTTTTCAAGTTGTTGTTTGGCAAGAAATTGCTTTCCGCCGAAGCCCCTTAAATGCCTTACCGTCAATTAACAGGGAATAATTTTGCGGGTGTTAAAGAAAATGTCTTTAGGTGCAGGCAATGATTGAGAAATATTAGAGTAAAGTGAAATCGATGGAAATTCAAATGAAAACACAGAGTTATGCAATCGTGGTGGGCTTATTTATAGATGGGGAAAAAAAGGGGCAGCATCCGCAGCCGAATTGCGGCTGCAGTCAGGCAATTGGTTAGCAGCTGCCCCACTCACACTCTTAAGTTCAGACCAGTCCAACCACCCAACCACCCAGCCACCCAACCACCTACTCACTCCAACCACCAAGTGGTTGTTATGGCATTCGCTGAACGCATTTTGTAACATGACAAAATAGCGTAGCATACATTTCAGGGGTTGCAAATGTGCAACATTGATTGGCACGGCCAACTGGCAAATTGGCCACGGGGCCTCCGATTGGGGAGCCTGCGCAGGCGCAGCTTATTCTATTACATAACCTGGCCAGAACCAGAACCAGAACCGATTCGAAAAGGATGCTGCCAGTTGGCGAAACCGAAACAGAACCACAACTGCACTTGTTGCTGACAGAGCGCGGCGTTTGGCGATACGTTTCGCATAGAAAACGCGACGGGAAATAGAAAAATATACCCTCATACCTAACCTAACTCAACGAATTAAAGTTAATAATCCCCATTGCAGTCATTCAAAATGTGGCATATTGAGCATATGGAAATCAATTGTTGCGTGAACATTACCTGAACTTTTTAGTCAAAAGAAAGAAGCACATATGAACAAAATTATGTGAGCGTGAAAATTATTTGTGGCATTCGTGAGCAAGTCTTCAAAAGAAGTTGAAAGTTTTGCACTTTCTTCGGTTCCTTCTCCTTTCGGCAATAGTTTTTAAAATTGTGCGGTTCGAAGTGGATTATCCGACAGACCCGAAAATGGACGACGAAAGCGATGACAAGGATGATACGAAAAGGTAAATTGACTACACATTAAGCACCCATACTCATATATCCATGGCTATTCATAAATAGATAGCACAAATTCTAATCTGCAAGTGACAGTTGACAAGAAGTGAAAGAAAAGACGTGTATATGGCGTTTTTGATAAATTTTCCACAGGGTGAAAGTGGAATGTCCCCCCTTGACTATTATTTTTCTCATGAATAACTGTATTAAGAAACCGCCGCTGTCGTCATAAAATTGCAGGTAGCCCCCGTCCATTTGGCCCATTCACACCCCCTGAATCAATCAATGAAAACTAAGTCGTGGTAACTCAATTCCTTGATCCGTTCTTGCTGCGACCATCTTCAATGAGTTGTAATCCGAGTGCAAATTCGATTAGCTCGTGTCATAATTAATTTCACCTGGCCTCTTGGCGTTTATCACATAATTATGAATACCAGAAATTATATTAACAATATTGAAATGAATGCCTTGGACGGAAATCCGTAAGCAATGAAAGAGTTTGACATTGGTTTATTATATCGCTTTAAGGACTATTTTGGTTAAAAAGTTTGATGATGAATTGGATTCAAGTTTATTTGGGTTTCACAACTTAATCTTTGGGTTTTTGTGAGCAAATTGTATCAATAAGTATAAATGTTTATTTATTTTTAGATAAAACAATAATCACACAATAGATCCGGTCAGTAATATTTAAACAACTTTCATATCGCGATTACATATTTCACTTAACATGCAACTAAAAAGAATCTAATCGATATTTGATTAAATTAATTTACTTTAATTTAGGTATATATTTTTATTAAAAGAGAAAGATTCGTTTATAATGGGTTATTCTCATATGATGAAAAGTATATACTAAGAATATTTTAATACGCACAATTGTGGTATCTGCAAAGGTACCTTTTTAGTGTGTAAAAAGATGTACAACAATGATTTTAAACAGTGAAAAGAAAGGGTTAAGCAATTGATGCTCCTGAAAAATAGGAGGAAAATACCAACATATTTTAAGGAATTCAATTGTTCTAGAAAGCTCAGTTTTTTATGATTTCTTGTGAGTTAGACTCCCTCCTTGACTCCTTAAAAATATATTCAGCTCATTGCCCTTCAATTAACTCTAAAAATACTGCGAGAACCCAAGATAACCGCTCATCAACTACCATATCATACCCAAATAAACTGACAATAACAATAGTCCCAAAACTGCGCTCATCCAGCAGTTAGTGACATGCAAATGCCAATGGCAGGATAGAAAAAGTGAACTCTAGCGCAGAAAATTGAAAGTGACAAAGGGCACACAACCCTCCGGGTCCTTGGGAAAATACGGGATGGTGATAGCATATGGGCATATGTGGCTAATCAACGCCAGACAATGCCTCAATAGAGGCGGCACACGTGGGTCACAAGCCCACTCACCTGGGGGTGCAAATCCCGTTTATTATGAAATACTCTCAAGCAGCGAGCGTCTGACGTTGTTATCCGTAAATGCCACCCATTGATTATTTTTAACTCGTAGCTTCCTTTGCAGAAAATCGCGTAATCTCAGCGAGAAGAAGCGGCGGGATCAGTTCAACTCGCTGGTCAACGACCTGAGCGCCCTGATATCCACATCCAGCAGAAAGATGGACAAGTCCACGGTCCTAAAGTCCACGATAGCCTTCCTGAAGAACCACAATGGTATGCTCTCCGCACTCTATATGTTATATCCTTAAACTCAAAAACGTATTACATCAGAGGCCACCGACCGCTCGAAGGTTTTCGAGATACAACAGGACTGGAAGCCCACGTTTCTGAGCAACGATGAGTACACCCACCTGATGCTGGAGTCTCTGGATGGTTTCATGATTGTGTTCAGCAGCATGGGTTCCATATTCTACGCCTCGGAAAGTATTACCTCCCAGCTGGGCTATCTACCGGTGAGATAACTATTTAAGATACTATGTCCTCCACTTAAAGTTCTTACGAGTGTTACATTTTTAAGCGGAATCGCTTAGGATATATAATACTAAAGGTCTTAACTTCTCTATACCGTATAAAAAAGGATTTCCTTGGTTAGCAATCTATTAGATTTTTTTTGTAAAAGGTGTTTAAAGCCGTTTAAGACCCCTTACTCTTAAAATTTAAATTTATTTTAAATAAAAATCAAAGCCTAAATCACCTTCTCTCTGTGATGAGATAAACAAATCCTTTATAGCAGGCCACGATATTTAAATCAGTAACAAACATTCAGTGAATCAGTCAGTTGATTCTCAAACAAATCAGAGTTATTATACAAAACCTAAAATTTATTTTATAAGTAATGTCTCCCAAATTTAAAATGGCTGTGAACGTGTACTCTACCAACGTGACCTCGGACAATCCTTCGCGTTACGAAATGCTATCCTGGGTCAACCAGATGCTGCAGGCCCAGTTCTCCAAGGTCGAGGAGTTGTGCACCGGAGCGGCTTACTGTCAGTTCATGGACATGATGTTCCCCAGCTCGATTCCGGTCAAGCGAATCAAGTTTCGCACAAACCTAGAGCATGAGCACTTGCAGAATTTTAAGCTCCTACAGGCAAGTTTCAATAAAGTGTCCGTGGACAAGGTAATTCCCATCGATAGACTAATCAAGGGACGTTTTCAAGACAACCTGGAGTTCCTTCAGTGGTTTCGCAAGTTCGTTGAGGCCAACTACAGTGGCCGGGCCTATGATCCCCTATCGGCCCGAAATGGTGTTGCCATGGGTTTGGGCTCTGGTCCTATCAACCCTAAGTTACAGAAACAATCGCCTAGTTCCACTCCTCGTAGTGATACTTCGGAAAGGCCCTCCACTAAGCCAGCTCCGGAAAAGGCCAAAACAAAGAAAGAAATTGAAGCACTTAAACAGCAACATTTGGCACTTTCCAAGGAGTTCGACGAATACTCTAAATATATTCCGGAAGTGGAAAATGAACGAGACTTCTACTTTAACAAACTAAGAAACATTAAAAAACTTTGTCAGAGAAGCAAAGTAGCTGACCCCAAATTAAGACCCTTTTCTGAGAAGGTTTTTCAGATTATTTACGCCGATAAGGTGGTCCGCCGAAACACTAACTGAATCTTATTGAAAACCTTTTCAAAATTTGTAGTTATTTTTCATATGCATTGCTTATCTGATCGGTTTATAGTTTTGTTATTATCTTTATTCAACGAACTTATGGAAATTAATCTTTGCGGAATATCAAAGATTGTTATCACTAAATACTATGCAAGAATTATGTGATTTAATAATATTAAGGATATGGAAGTCAACAGAAAGTATTGAAATGTTAGGGGTTATTAAAATTTTATGGGTAAGATTAAATAGTTGCAAGATAATATATGGAAAATTGTCAATATTCAAACTCGGTTCTTACCTAACTTGGTCGTCTTCCAGCAAGATCTGTACAACATGACCATATATGACCTGGCTTACGAGATGGACCACGAGGCGCTGCTGAACATCTTTATGAATCCCACTCCCGTTATCGAGCCCCGACAGACGGACATAAGTTCCAGCAACCAGATCACATTCTACACCCATTTGCGACGCGGCGGGATGGAGAAAGTGGATGCCAATGCCTACGAGCTGGTCAAATTTGTGGGTTACTTTCGTAGGTAGCCGTGCAGCGAGTTTCGGTCACCTCCACTGATGCTTATCCCTTAGGTAACGATACCAATACCTCCACGGGCTCCAGTTCGGAGGCATCGAATGGCTCAAATGGACAACCCGCGGTGCTGCCCCGAATCTTTCAGCAGAATCCCAGTGCGGAGGTGGACAAAAAGCTGGTTTTTGTGGGCACTGGACGGGTACAGAATCCTCAATTGATCCGGGAAATGAGCATCATTGATCCGACTAGTAACGAATTCACCTCGAAGCACAGCATGGAGTGGAAGTTTCTGTTTCTCGATCACCGGGCGCCCCCGATCATTGGCTATATGCCCTTCGAGGTTCTGGGCACTTCGGGCTATGACTATTACCATTTTGACGATCTGGACAGCATTGTGGCGTGCCATGAAGAGCGTAGGTTTGATTATAATCTTACCTTTTATAATATTAAAATTCCTATTTATAGTACGACAGACGGGAGAGGGAAAATCCTGCTACTACCGATTCCTGACCAAAGGACAACAATGGATCTGGCTGCAGACGGACTACTATGTAAGCTACCACCAGTTCAATTCCAAGCCGGACTACGTGGTCTGTACCCACAAGGTCGTTAGCTATGCGGAGGTTCTCAAGGAAAGTCGAAAGTCGGAGGGTGAAAAATCCGGAAATAGCAGCAGTAACAACAACAATGGCAGCAGTAAGGTCATAGCATCCACGGCGAACAGCAGCAAATCCGCATCTGCCACCACAACTCTGAGGGATTTCGAGCTGAGCAGCCAGAATCTGGATACCACATTGCTGGGGAATAGCTTGGCCAATTTGGGCAACGACACGACGGCCACCTCACCCGCCGTCGACTCTTCACCCATGTGGTCCGCATCGGCTGTCCAACCGTCGGGTTCCTGCCAACTCAATCCTCTGAAGACCTCGCGACCCGCCTCCAGCTATGGGAACATCAGTTCCACGGGCATATCCCCGAAGGCCAAGCGAAAGTGTTACTTCTACAACAACCGGGGAAACGATTCGGATTCTACGTCCATTTCGGCGGACTCGGTTACCAGTCGACAGTCCATGATGACGCACGTCAGTACGGTGGGTATAGCAAACAATATAGGAAAAATGATCAAAAGAGTAAATATTAAGACATCTTTATATGCCTTCAAGTCTTAAACAAATTATGAGACTATCCGTATTCTTAGTGCCTAAAAATTAAATTGCAGATTCTTTTAGGTTTACGAAAACACTATATATCGTTTAAAAAATGTTTTAACGCATTGCTATTTGCGTATATCGTAATTCGACGCAAGATTTTATGTGAAATTATTTATTGACTATTGATTTACACGCGAAACTTGTTCTAAAAAACTATAAATATTTATTACTTTATGGAAAAAATATTTAACCAGTGATCATAACGTTCTTCTATCGTGCAAAAACGCTATAGAATATAGGGTCCACCTGAAGGTCAGGTGTCAGGACATCAGCGAGTGTGAATTGGTATCTCCTTGATGTCCTGACACTTGCCACCTTCGGGGTATGGACTCACAACAGCACTCCATTAAATCGTGATTTCTTTGATTCCTTTTGGAACAATCAAAAATTTTTACTCCTTCGATCATCGAGATGTTCCCTAAAATCAATCCCCCTAACTAACCTCCTGTAATTTCCTTAGCAAAGCCAACGACAGCGATCGCATCACCGAGACCACCATCGAGAGCATCACCACAGTCAGTCACATCACCACCTGCAGCAGCAGCAGCAACAGCATCAGAACCAGCAACATCAGAGCCAGCAGCAACAGCAACAACAGCAGCAGCAGCAACAACATCAGCAGCATCTGCAGCTGCAACAGCAGCTGCAACACACAGTGGGCACTCCAAAACTGGTGCCCCTGCTGCCGATTGCACCCACGCAGATAATGGCCAGCAATGGGTGCCAGTTCCCCCAGCCCGCCTATCCGCTGACCAGCTCCCAACTGGTGGCACCCACCTTCCTGGAGCCACCGCAATACCTTACCGCCATTCCCATGCAACCTGTGATCGCTCCGTTTCCGGTGGCACCCGTCCTGTCGCCCATTCCTGTCCAGGCTCAGCCGGATCTGCTGCCCGACACCGTGGTGATGACGCCCACGCAGAGCCAGCTGCAGGATCAGCTGCAGCGGAAGCACGACGAGCTGCAGAAGTTGATCCTGCAGCAGCAGAACGAGCTGAGGATCGTCTCTGAGCAGCTGCTCCTGTCCCGCTACACCTACCTGCAGCCCATGATGTCGATGGGATTCGCACCGGGGAATATGACAGCCGCGGCGGTGGGAAATATGGGGGCAGGTGGTCAGCGGGGACTGAACTTCACCGGCAGCAATGCCGTCCAGCCGCAGTTTAATCAGTATGGCTTCGCCTTGAATTCGGAGCAGATGTTGAACCAGCAGGATCAGCAGATGATGATGCAGCAGCAGCAGAATCTGCATACGCAGCACCAACACAACTTGCAGCAGCAGCATCATAATCACACGCAACTGCAGCAACTCAACCAGCAACAGCAGCAGCAACAACAGCAGCAGCAGCAACAGCAGCAGCAGCAGCAGCAACAACAGCAGCAGCAGCAACAGTTGCAACTCCAGCAGCAAAATGATATTTTACTGCGCGAGGATATTGACGATATAGATGCCTTTCTCAACCTCTCACCCCTGCAATCCCTGGGCTCCCAATCCACCATCAATCCCTTCAACTCCAGCAGCAATAACAACAATCAGAGCTACAATAATGGAACAATGAACAACGGCAACCAGAGCAACAACAATCGCAGCTCGAATCCTCCGCAGAATAATAACGAGGACTCACTGTTGTCCTACATGCAAATGGCCACCGAGTCGAGTCCATCGATCAACTTTCACATGGGCATCAGCGATGATGGCTCGGAAACGCAGAGTGAGGATAACAAAATGATGCACACTTCCAGCGGCAATCAGTTGCAGCAACATCAGCAACAGCAAATGCTTCAGCAACATCAGCAGCAGTCAAACAACTTCTTCAGTGCGAATCCCTTTCTCACCAACCAAAGCCAGAATCAAAATCAGTTGCCCAACGATCTGGAGATATTGCCCTACCAGATGTCCCAAGAGCAATCGCAGAATCTATTCAACTCACCACACACAGCCCCGGGCAGTAGTCAATAGCAGGGCCCCAATGTATATAACTCTCTTTAGCGATAGGGTCGATTGTAAGCACTCCACCCCCGAAAACACCCCGTTCATCCGTGTATTATCAAGTTTGGCCTCTGGCTCTCTTTATCGAACCGCCTCCCATTGGAAATCCAGAGCTAGTTGTAGATCTCAACAGACTGAGTATTGTCCCATCCCCCGATTCGCGTGTTGTATATAAACCTAGGCGTAGTAGAGTTCTCAAAATATTCCACTGTAAGTAGATTTTAAACACTAATATTACGGTTAGTTGATAGCAAGAGCCCATCGTTTCCATTAGTTAGCCTTATCCAGTAAGTGCCATCGGGGCGCAAACAGGGATCTCTGATACGTAATCGAACCTTTAAGCCTAATCCTAAGTTACTTGTATTTAAAAATACACCGAGAAGCGATTAACTAGCGAACGAGTTGAGCAATGCTAATCCAATTCCATATTATTTTCAAGACTGGGCTTCGCCATCGAGGTCAAACAAGATATTAATCATACGAGTTAGTGTTTATTCTGTATGCACATAGGATACGTACATATATATGTAATTCAAAACTCAGGTTGAGATTGCAACTGACATTTATTTTGCTGTGAACATATTCCCATAAGTTTTCTCCAGGCCCGATCTTTTCCGACAGTCAAAATACCATTAGTTCAATCGTTATTCCCGCTTTCCCTGTATTACCATTTTGCTGTCGGAAAAGTTCGTTCGAATATGCTTCGATCTTCAGCTGATAAAGAGCCAAATGCTTTAAACTTAGAACTTGTAAATGTGGAAACAAACTATCTTAAACTCAACTAAAACTACCTTAATAATTCTAGTTAACTCTGTGTTTAAGCTCTGTACATACCTATAGGTCAAGTCGGTAGAACTTGATTAAGCCTGTAAATATGAGATCGAAGGCGATGATAATATAGAACTATTTTGTATATAACTAAATGTTTTTATGTTTTTCAAAACATGCTATCAAGAAAGAGAAATGAACAACCTAATCAAATCGAAAAAAAGCTTAATCGAACCCAACAGAGTGGTAATAAAAAAAAAAAATACGATTTAATTGGATGGAATTTATTATTCAATTCTTTCTTATAATGATATATAAAGAGAGGGAGTATATATAAAGTATATCAATTCCAATCAGACGCGCAGCTTGGTAATGGCATTCTGGAGAATCTGGAACTCGGAGTTGATGTTGTCCATCAGGTTCGAAATCTGGGGCTTGGAGTCGAGAACCTCAATACTCTGGGTATAGGCATTATAGCGTACGCCAAAGGGACGCGGAATCGAGTTGGCAAATTTACTAAAAATAAATTTTATAATCTTAGATTATTCTGTAACTAATTATAAATTACGTTTCTTACATGGTCTTCTCCTTGGCAGTCTCAAAACTGTCGGACACATAGTAGAGGGGTTGGAACTGCGTAATGGGATACTTGGTGATGCCAGTGACCTCCGGCTCGAAGTCCTTCAGCTGGGGCTTATCCGTGAGGCAATACTCGAGTTCTCCATATGAGGAAAGAAGACCAGCTCCATAGGCCTTCAACTCACCCTCCTGACGACACAAACCATACTCAACAGTGAACCAGAAGATCTAGAAGAGAGATCAGCTATATAAGGTGTATACCTAATGAGTTGGGCTAAAAGGGCATCTTACAGTGGACAGTTTCTCAATAAAATCATCGGGTGCTCCCAATGAGGCCAATCCGATCTCCTGGCTGAACTGGGCAAAGGCTGGATCTGCAAAGAGTGGCACGTGGCCCATCAGCTCGTGACAGACATCCGGTTCTGGGGTGTACATGGGTTTGCTGGGATGCCTAATGTATTGGGTGGAATGGAAGACGCGGAAAGCCAGGCCAGCCAGGAAGTCCCGGGAGCTGAGTAGTCCGGCCACAGGACGTAGAGTAAAACCAGTACAATCTTCAAAAATAGAATATAAGAAATTAAAATAAAATCCATTTAATGGGCATGCCACAAACGCACCCCTCAAAAAGTTGGAGACATCCTCCAGCTGGGGAATATTATCCTCCCGGAAGCCACAGTTGTCCACCAGTAGCGGGAAGACGTGATTGTACTCCCGACAGGCGTGGGTCTTGTAGAGTTTCGTAAGGTTCCTGAAGATAATGCCCCAGGTCTCGATCTCTTCCTTGGTATAATCCACATGGGGCAAGGGCTCGCCATGCTTGTAGTTATAGGCAATGTCGGCAAAGTACTTGCGACGCTTGCGGTATTCCGGATCGGTAAAGCCAGGATGATCGGAATCCAGTTCAGAGCCGTAGCTCAGAATCTGATTGGCGAAACGATCCAGGTCGCGTATACGCCGTGGGAACCAGGGCACAGCCGTGGCATTATCCTTGTAGTCCCGCGAAATGATGTTGAAATAGCTGCACTGCTCCTTCACATCATCGATAGCTCTTCCCAAAGCTCCCGACTTTCCATCGGCCTCCACGAAAAACTCGTAGCCGGGGACACGAAGCGAGGACCGCGATTCAATGTGCACTAGGTTGATATCATGCTGCTTGAATATGGACAAAATGTTGGCCAAAGCTCCGCTGGACAACGAGGAATCCTTGGGCGAGAACAGTAGACAGGTGTTCCTGGCCTCCTGAATATCCACACCCTCGGCTATATAAGCCGAATCCTCAGCGCGCGTTGGCTATAATAAATACGGAATAAAATAAATGGATTAGCGAACTATCACTATATACCTTGGGTTTAACCAGCTTCATCCGAAACTTGAGAGAGAGAGACACTAAATGACCTGGGCTTAACCCAAGTACATATAACACTGGTAATCTGATGTTCGCCATTAACACCTCACTATTATGACTTTGAATTACCTAAGGCCAAAATCGCTTAATTACTTAACCGAAGCCTTATATGTGCCATCGAACTGTAATTGTAGTACATGCATAAGACTAACATCATTGTGATTGCATTTTTGTGTGGGAGCCAGCATATCGAAGGTTTAGGTCTGACCGCATTGGCAACCAGTGCATATTGCCAAGGATACGACCTAGAACTTGGTGTTCTATGTCTCTGAGAAGGTCACTAGGGTGGTTAGCTTTGCGAGATCTTGAAAAATTCCAAAGGCTTTTAGTAAAAGCAAACTGCCCTAGTTAAAACGATTAAAAAAGGAATATTTTAAAAAGAACACACAAAGTTTACACATATTGACAGTCAAACATTCTTAAATCTCACATATATATCTAACGTTCACAGACTAAAAATTCGTATATCTACATAGGATTTAAATTTTAAATTAAGCCAATTAGAGTACTTTTATTGTCTAAAAAGTAAATATATCCCGTTAACCCAACAAAATTATACGGCCAACTTCTTAGTTTGGATTTCATTTCTAGTTTCTCATGAATAAAGAAATATAAAACTTTAATTCTGATGATCTTGCTATAAAAATCCATTGTTGTTGTGTTGATACCAAAATAAAAATTCCAGTCAATCCAGAAAAACACTCTGTGTTCCTTTGTTCAGAACTATTACGAACTAACCCAATTCCATGACGAGCTGAATTGATTGTAGATCCGCTTTCTCATTCAAATGAAATTTATTAATATGTCTTTATAGTATGTATTTTGTGTTTTTATTTTTCAAGGTTGGAAAAAGCTCATGATGAGAAGGCAAAATAATAAACTTATTATTGATTTTAATTTAATAGATATTTTACGGTTCACTTTCTGTATGATGTGCATAGAGGACTTGTTGACCCAACAAACCTTATCAAAGGAGACCTGCCGCTGGTACATTCTCACAAGATTCTCAAGTATCTTCACTAGAACAACAAACCGAAGACGAACGATCCGTTCAGCACACGATTTCAAACTGATTTGAATTTTCAGTTAAACGCGCGCTTAAATAGACTTTCTGCTAGGCCCCATAGCTGAGCCAAAACGAAAACAAAAACCAATCCGAGCTGAAACCAGTAAATAATAAAAATAATATCGCGGGCAATCGGGCGAGTGAATGATCTTGGAACGGCATCCACATGCGGTCCAATCGCAGCACTAACTTTGTGGGGTTATCAGTGCCCCGTCTCTATGGGCCTAAAATCCCATTCCATCTCATTACAGAAGCCGTCGATCGGCTAGACGGTAAAATCTAAATACTGAAACATAAATACAGTCGATCTTCTGTAGTCTCAATTTCCGAAAACGGCACTTTATTTCGGTCGAAAGATATTGAAACCTGTTTTAATTCTAAATTATTAATATATAATTATGTATTCTATATTCTATAGGTACATTCTATAGGTATATTCTATAGGTATAAAAACTAAATTTAAAAAAATATTTAAACTAGTATTTAGTACCACCCGAAATTTAAAACCATTTAACAGAAAAGTTGTTTTAATATCATCAAAATAAAGTAATTTGGAAAATTTTTTTTTTGCTTTTTGTAGGTTTCACTGTTTTGTCAAAATACTATCAACTCATGTTCGCGGCTCTGCTGGGGTCCATATTAACAGAACATTATTTCAGCTAGTTTTAGAAATTGTTGTTTTTGCAAAAAATAAAACTGTATAATCTGAACTTTGTTTTCCTAATGACAGGTTCTAACCAAACGAGTTCAACGGCATTTCAGGGCAATTATTTCAGTAGTGAATAGCTCCAAGTGGGCCTGGCACGCGCTGCTTCTGTTGTTTCATACTTACGATCCACATCAGCTTGATTGGATTCAATTATTTCAATCAGTTCACTCACCTGATTTTTTCTTACACCACTGTCTAATTAATTATCCTTACTTGCTCTTAAATCGGTTATATAGTCAGAGCCCAGAAGTAACTGTAGTAATCTGTGGAACCCATTTGTCGCTTTGATTTTCTTTGAAAATGCCACAATTGGTTTTCGTTTACCCTTTCCTATTCAGAGTTCAGTTGGCTTGTGACACGCTAACTGATAAACCCGGAATTTAGGCTGATGTAATTTTACAAAAGTTTACAAAAGTCAAAAAACCAAAACCATCACTCATTTTTCTACGCGGAAGTATAGTTGTTGAATTTTAAAAATTGGTTCAGACTCTCGACAAAAATGTCTTTTGATGCGAAATATTTTCGTGTGTTTCCAAAGAAACATTTTATAAAGACCACAACAAACATTTTAATTTGTTTTACTTCAATTTATTTATTCATCATCGTTTGAGCTCGCAAAGTTTTTATTTCGATTTCCTAATAATTATAATTTACATTCTTGAATATGTCAAAAATCATATTCGAAAATTTGCTTTTACTATTTCGTTTCGTAATGTTTATGGTGAAAAATGGATTGATAAATAAATGCTTAGTTGAGTTTGGTGCACAAGTGGACGGTATTCAAAATGCAGTACTCTGGCAGGGTGACCTACAAAATCAGATACAAATATATGAGTCATGGATTATTTATTTAATCGAGCATATAAAAGCAAGGTCTTCAGAGGCTAGCTCTTGTTACATTCGAATCTCTGACTGAGGTGTAGAAAAGCACAAGGGAAGTCCAACTTACAAGTTGCTCAACGTTAATTCAACGGTATCCCGACCTGGTCATAGGATGTACTGATCTGCCGCATCGAATCATGCTATAGAAACAAAAAGCATACAAAAATAATTACAGCCGTTTCGAGAATATCCCATATATGTGGATAATGGTTCTTAAAAATAATTTTATATGCTTCTAAATTTTTTGCTGGAAACAGGCTACTTTTTTTTTAAATAATACAATTTAAATAATATTTTAATTTGGGATAGACTGATAATAAGCATTTTTTAATTATTTTATACTCACCCTTGCACTAGCTGAAGAACTTGTTTGTGATGACACTGAATAGTCATGCTCATTCCAATTTTTTCGCTTTATATTCTGGTGGACATTCCATTTTGGTGAAATTACGTGGTTGAAATACCAGGTTGGAACCAGGTGAATAGCTACGTGAAAATTTAAAAATTATTAAGCAGAGCTTACAAAATCCTACAAAATGTTCTCGATCCAAACTTATTTAATTAATTTATTACTTACGAACGCATTTAGGCTCTGAACCACTCCAAATTCCTGAACGATCACAACTTCTGGTACTCGAGCCTGTTAAGGCATATCCATCATCGCAAATAAAATTGCATAGACTGTGAGAGAATCCATCTGCAGGTCCATAACAATAAGCCTTTCCATTAAGGGGATCCTGCATGCCACTACATAAATTCCAAGAAGTATAAGTAGTGTCCTGACAACTAATTCCATCCGCGGATCTTGTAAAGCCTAGAGGGCATGGATCCAATGCACAAGTCCGATTATCCTCCAGCAGATGATAACCATCTTTGCAGTGACAGCGGAACGAGCCCACCGCATTTACACATATTTGCTGACAAGGTTGGTTCCTGTTTGGGTTAATGGAATCCATGAGTTTACACTCGTCGATGTCCTGACACTTGGTACCATCAGCAGATGGCTCAAATCCGGATGGACATTCTATGGCCTTTGGAACAATAATGGCCGGGCGGTTTCTGACATTCAATGCACATCTCTGGTGATCATCGAGTAGATGATAGCCCTCATCGCAGTGACAAATGTAGGAGCCATTTGTATTCTCGCACTTGTGATAACAGTAACGATAGATTTGTTTTCCGGTATTTGGGTCTATATCCACCAATTCGCACTCGTCGATGTCCTGACACTTGGTACCATCGGCAGATGGCTTAAACCCAGATGGACATTCTATGGCCATTGGGATAATAATGGGCGGGCGGTTTCTGCCATTCAGGGCACAACTCTGGTGGTCTTCGAGCAGGTGATATCCCTCAGGGCAGTGGCAAATGTAGGAACCTACTGTGTTCTCGCACTTGTGCTTACAGTAACGGGGGGATTCTCGCCCGGTCTTCGGGTCGTGATCTACCAGTTCGCACTCGTCGATGTCTTGACACTTGGTACCATCGGCAGATGGCTTAAATCCGGATGGACATTCTATGGCCTTCGGGATAATAATGGCCGGGCGGTTTCTGCCATTCAGGGCACAACTCTGGTGGTCTTCGAGCAAGTGATATCCCTCAGGACAGTGGCAAATGTAGGATCCTACTGTGTTCTCGCACTTATGCTTACAGTAACGGGGGGATTCTCGCCCGGTCTTCGGGTCGTGATCTACCAGTTCGCATTCGTTGATGTCCTGACACTCGCTACCATCCGAGGAGAGATTAAAGCCTGGCTTGCACAATATTCCATCTGTGGGAAGACCGATTGTATCGCTGGGTTCAACTCTGCCCACCATTGTCGGACGACACTTATAGGATCCGTCCAGGTTGTCACAGCCAGCTTGGCAGTCCGGAGATAGATCAGGATTGGCGCACTCATCAATGTCTGACAGGGGTAAACAAATTATTATACAAAAATTAGAATTTCCTTATCATACATACATATTATTGTATTACATACCCAAACAAGTTCGTCCATCTGCTGGATCTATTTGATAACCATCATTACATAAGCATAAGTATTCTCCAGGCCAGTTCGTGCAAATATGAGAGCAACCGCCATTCGATTCCTTGCATTCGTCGATATCTGCATAAAGATAATATTACTATGGATCTTCATATCTCAAGGTGTATAAAAAACAGCAACAATTATCAGCGCACAACCCAAGCCAAACCAGCTGAGGCAGCAAACATTTCAATTGGCCTTACACAGGGGGCCCTAATATCCGATATGTCCTACCAGCGACCCTTTACAGCAACCATAACTTAAAGGAACCAAATAAAAATTTTTGAAAGACCCGAAGCTGCTTTGTTTTTATATTATCATATTTTTAAACTAAAAGATAGTTGAAGAGGGAGAGGCATTTTAAATTGAAAATATTTATATTTTTTGGTTTTAAGTTTCAGTTTGTTTTTGCGTACTTCAAATGTCTTTCAGAACGGGAACCCAAAACTTGACTTCTAGATTACATAACTTGAGTTCCAATAACTCAAGTTATTCCGACTTAGACATGGGTTAACTGAATGAATTTGTAGTTGAATTCTCTAATATTCTACTTTGCAATTTTAATGTTCGATCGAAATTTTGACCCATTTTCATGTTCGATTTTTCCGCATTTCTAATCGGTTTCAGAATTAGAACCCAAAACTGCACTTCTACATTCCATAAATTGGGTAGTTTGATCCCGATTTTGAAGTGTGATACCTCTATGAATTTGTGTTTGAATTCCTTTATAATCTGCATTTAAATATTTCTTTTTAAAGAGGGTCGAAATTTTGACCCACTTTCATGTTCGATTTTTCCGAATTTTCAATATTTCAGAATGGGAACCCAAGACTGCACTTCTACATTCCATAAATTGGGTAGTTTGATCCCGTTTTTGAAGTGTGATACCTCTATGAATTTGTGATTGAATTCTCTAATAATCTGCATTTAAATATTTCTTTTTAACGAGGGTCGAAATTTTGACCCATTTTCATGTTCGATTTTACCGTATTTCTAATCGGTTCCAGAGTGGAAACCCAAAACTGCACTTCTACATTCCATAACTTGGGTAGTTTGACCCCGATTTTGAAGTGTGATACCTCTATGAATTTGTGGTTGAATTCTCTAATAATCTGCATTTAAATATTTCTTTTTAAAGAGGGTCGAAATTTTGACCCATTTTCGTGTTCGATTTTTCCGAATTTTCAATATTTCAGAATGGGGACCCAAAACCGAACTCCTACGTTCCATAACTTTGGTAATTTGATCCCGATTTTGAAGTGTGATACCTCTATGAAATTGTAGTTTAATTCTCTAATAGTTTGCATTCAAATGTTTCCTTTCAATGAGGGCGAAATTTTGACCCATTGTCATGTTCGATTTTTCCGTATTTCCAATGGGTTTCAGAATGGGGACTCAAAACTGGAGTTCTACATTTCATAACTTGGGTAGTTTGATCCTGAGTTTGAATTTGTGGTTGAGTTCTCTAATAATCTGCATTAAGATATTTCTTGTTAACGAGGGTCGAAACTTTGACCCATTTTTATGTTCTATTTTTTCGTATTTCCAGCGGCTTTCAAAATAGGATCCTAAAGCAGTCCTTCTAGATTGCAAAACTTGGGTTATTGACGTGGAATTCCTCTTTCAAGTTTGATTTTTGAATTCTTTAAATGGCTTTCAGAATGGGAACCCAATCCATGGGAGCCCAAAACTGCACTTCTAAACTCCATAACTTGAGTTGTTGGATACCGATCTAAACGGGGGATACCTCTTTGATTTTGTGGTTGAATTCTCTAATGTTCTGCATTAAAATATTATTTTTAAAGGAGGGTCAAATTTTTAACCCATTTTCATATTCGATTTTTCCGTAAATCCAAGGGCTTTCAGAATGGGACCCCAAAACTGCACTTCTAGATTCCATAACTTAAGTCATTGGATTGCAATTTTGAAGTGCAAACTAATTTTTGTTATTTTTTTTAGTATTTTGACATTTTAAAATAATTTTATGGGTACAAAAAAGGGTTTACTTCTTTGCGACCTCCGTTAAAACAGTTCCTTAAAGGTGGACAAAGTTGCGAAGGGGAAAGCTGGTACATATATAAATAAATAAAATCTTTTTACCAACCTTGGCAGCTCGTGAAATCGGTGGTGTTTAGAGTGTAACCCTCATAACATTCGCACCTTTTAGTGAATTCGTTACATCTGTGGGAACAACCGTCATAAGTATGGCAGTCCTGGAAGGTAGGTGGTTCATAAATATCATGTAGGCGGAACAGATGCATTTTTAGAGAGTTAATACTTTATCTTCGACATCGCCCGACCAAATGCATTCAGGAACATTACCAATCCAAGATCCTTTTGAGCAGAACATATCTCTGTCTCCGTCAAACTTTAGTTCATAATTGTAACTGCAGTGATATTTTGCCGCCTGATAGTAATTTTGGCCGCTCCATTTGGTTGTGATGGAGAAATTACCATTCCTTATTTTCGGAGGATATACGTCATGACAAGTTTTATCCAAATTGCTTCCCAAAATTACACCGATATTAGTCTTTAAATGAGCTGTAAATGAATTAATAAATTCAACAATTAATAAATAAATCGATAAGAAGAAAAGCGGGTTGGGGAAGAAAATAATTTAGAAGGCACTAATTCTTAGGCTGCCCAAAAGAGTGCATCTATTTTTGTATTTTTTCGTGAGGAATGTTATTTAAAATTCTTTTTCTGCTATGTATTTGAATTTAAAAAAGAACTTAATAAATAAAATGTTTGAAAAGCAAATTTTGGTTTAACAAATCGGTTTTGTTTATAATTAAACTTATTTGAACTTGCGAATTGCAATACAAGTCGAAATTATTTATTTTTTGTTCTATATTAAACAGGCTTCTCACATATAAACCGAATTTATGTCTAATGGAATTTATTGTGTTTGTCGTTTTTTTTTTGTTTTTCTAATTAGATGTTTTATTATAGTTATAAATTTAGCCGGTCTATATGCAAAATTACCTGTGGAAAATGAAACGCATGTTAGGGCGAATAAAACCAGGACCGCTGCCGTCATTCTGCAACCTCTTCAGTGGTTTTCTCTAATAAAATTTATTAAATGAGAAGACATTGATAAAATTTATTTATTTTAGTTTCTTACTATATTTCTTATTTATATCATGAGCAAATATGTTGTATGTATGTATGTATAAAGGTATAATCTTATTATTAATCTTAATCTGTTCTATTTATGCATCCATAATACAAAACAAGAGAGAACGCTATACTCTACGGCCTCGACCATCACTTACCCGTTATTCAGACAAAGAGGGTGCGAGATTGCAAACAACACAAAAGCGCCACCTATCGTTTATTCCTATTCGCTTAAAACGTCACCTAGGTTTCACGGTATGTGGCGTGCTAAACAGCCGATTTGCACTCTATTGAATTTACTTATGATTATACCCGTTACTCGTAGACTAAAAGGGTATACAAGATTCGTCGAAAAAAATTTATCCGGTAGAAGGAACCGTTTCCGACGCCAAGAAGTATATATATTCTTGATTAGAATCACAAACCGAGTCGATCTAGCCATGTCCGTCTGAGATGAGATTTTGTTCTCATTTTTAATACATTTTAAAAAACATTTTAATACATTTTAAAACGGTAGCTTATACAATTATTATATTACCATGCGTGACTCACGAAGAACGATTTAAAGGGTTAGCGCGTCTTTAAAATTAGCACCTGAACGTATTTTACCTATGCTTTAAAGCAATTAATTGAAAAAAGCCAATGTTTAACTTTAACGCATTTAGCAATTTGAGCGCAATGTTTTTTAGTGAATTAACAACTTTTAAAAAACAAAACAACATTTTAATTAACTATTTTACTTGGCAGAAAAATTAAAAATTTATTTCAACAGCACACCGTGGCGTTCGAAAGCTAATACAAGACTGATGTGCCAAGAAAATGTTCCCACTCGCCCACACACGTCAATCTAAGCTGAGGAATATAATAGACTTTATCAAAAAAAAAATTGTTTACATTTCGACTAGTATGTTCATATGTTGCGTTCGTTGAAAAGTGTTTAAAGTCCTTCAGTACATCAAGATAAATAGAAGAAGTTTATGTTTAGTAACGGAGTTGAAGGGAATTGAAAGATGATATATTTACCTTGATGTACACATTCTGATTTACCATATTTTGATACAAATAAAAAGCCCACATTAATATAAACTGACATTACATAAATATAACGCTCAATCATCCCAAATCAAATGCGCCGCTGCAACTGCTCTCCAAATTGTAAACTGTTTTTAATTAAACAAAATTGAATTCAGTACAGAAATCGCGTGGGTGTGTTACTTTTCGACGTATTTGGCTAGCCGAGCAAACATGTTATTCTATATATGTAGTCCAGTATCTCAGCCAAGCTGTTTGCTTCCCATATTGGCTAAGCTACGACCCAATCCCCTCATTGTCCGATATTTTCAATTCGATAGATCACAATTTGATTGACAAATTAACAAAGCAACTGAAAACATTCTAAGGTTACACATAATTGACCATTTCATTGACTCGCGGATTGACAGACAATTGGGCGCGACTTTGGTCACTCTAAATTGGGTAATTAAAACGATTTAAGTCGATCTCTCGTGGGAGTGTTAATGCAATAATTTAATTACAAGTTAAGCATTTTTTAATTTAGCATTTGTTCTAATACACGTATTACACATTAAACATGCAACAAACTTACATTGCTTTGAATACTAACTCCGTAATTTGGTTTTTCCAGAATCTTTGTAGAACCTCTCCAGAACATTGTCTCTCATTTGTAGGAATTTTAAGATTCTTTTGACTTTCTACCTACGAGGCGACACAACAGTTTTGGCTGAGGTAAGCAGTACAATAGAGTGCAAAGAAATGTGTTGCGAGGTGGTGGTCTCCGGAAACTTTTTTCATTATCTGATAAGAAATGATACTACCAAATGTACCTAGCAATCATGCCAAAAAAAAAGAAATGACGTTGAAAATTGATAAAAATGTTTAAAAAAATGTAGCCGTCTTGACTCACCTTTTCCATAAAACTCAACGATAAGCTATTCTTATGTTTAGCAAATTTGTCACCTCGAAAACAATGCACCGGATGTAAATTCACTTTTCACAACGAAATTAAATGATAAACTTAAATTTTACCTCGGAGTCCTGAAATTAACTTTCGTTTCTGAAGTTAACAGTTGAAATCATTTTATTAGCATTCGCTTTTAGCAAACATGAAAGTGTAAGCTATTTATTTTTTTTAAGCAATTGGTCAAACCCAATTAGTCAAAAGCTATAATCAAAAAATAATCATCATGCCGAAAGTAATTCTAATTAAGAACTTTTATCTGACCAAAGTTTGATAAGTCCAAATGTACAGTTCCAATGACTTGTTACTGATGGCTTACAAATTATACTTGCCAAGTTACTTAACAAATAAAAAAAACAATTTTATTTTATTTTAAAGTAAACATGGGGTATCTTTTAGGTGAAGGCCTTCAATTGCGAATTTCAAAAATTTCTTGGAAGAGAGACATATGGTCATCAATCAAACATCTGTTAAAACATCAGAAGCTTGCCAAAAATTTAATATACTTTTTTGCTTTTTACCTTTCAAACCAAAAAAAAAAATTCTGCTACTAAAACGTAAAACAAAACAAGGAAGAACGCTATAGTCGAGTACCTCGACTATCAGATACCCGTTACTCAGCTAAATGGAGATATGCAAGCAGCAAAGCGAGATTAAAATGCGCCACCTACCGGCGGTATACAGATTTAAGCGTTATGGGCGTTAGAGTGGGCGTGGCAAATTTTTTGGATCAATCGATAGATATTGACGAGACCAATACATTTCAGTTAAAATTTTTTATCTAGCATGAAAATTGTGGGCGTCACAGGTTTTTGCGGTTTGTGGGCGTTAAAGTGGGCGTGGCAAACTTTTTTTTGAGTCAATCGATAGGTAATGACGAGACGAATACATTTCAGTTAAAATTTTTTATCTAGCATAAAAATTGTGGGCGTCACAGGTTTTCGCGGTTTGTGGGCGTTAAAGTGGGCGTGGCAAATTTTTTTTTAGGTCAATCGATAGGTATTGATGAGAACATTACATTTCAGTTAAAATTTTTATTCTAGCATCAAAACTGTAGGAGCCACAGTTTTGGGCGGTTTGTGGGCGTTAGAGTGGGCGTGGCACTCTACTGAAACAAACTTGCGCTGCGCAGGAATCTCAGGAATCTGCGTGCCTAATCCCAGTATTGTAACTCTCATAGTTTCCGAGATCTCAGCGTTCATACGGACAGACGGACAGACGGACAGACGGACAGACGGACAGACGGACATGGCTAGATCGACTCGGCTAGTGATCCTGATCAAGAATATATATACTTTATGGGGTCGGAAACGCTTCCTTCTGCCTGTTACATACTTTCCGACGAATCTAGTATACCCTTTTACTCTACGAGTAACGGGTATAATTACTTCACTGTAAAAAAAAGGGAAAAATTAGTCTTTGGGTTTTGGAAAGAAATAAATTCTTCAACTTTTACTTTTAACATCACACACGCTATTAAAAAAGTAAGTGTTGCGTCTATCAACACATTAGAGTGTATCATACCCTTCTTAGAAAAAAAGTGATACGACAGTGTATTTATGTATTTACGGATGTATTATCGCACAATCACACGAGTGTAATGTCTAAAGCACCGGAAAAAACGTCACCACATAAATATTTTAATATGCCACATGTTTTTATCAGGCCAAGAGTGACACAAATACTACGCTTAAAAAATGTATAATAAAAACTTTTCTTTGAAAATAAAATAACAACGTAATCAACAATAGGTAATTTTAATTTAATTTTATATTAGTAGCTTCGATTTCTTCTATTTCATTATTATGGTCTTTTTTAAGTTTGTGCAGCACAAACCTTTTAAAGAATTACCTCTACGACGAATAATTTCTTTCTGCGCTTAAAAACACAACTGAAGATTAAGCTTCTGAACACATCAACATCTAAGACGGGAGTGAGCTTAAAATTCAATCCACGCTTACCACAAAAAATTGCCCGCGATAAAAAAATGTATACAACCCAGCTATAAAAAGTTATGATCCTGTTGAGCTGCTATAAGTCATACTGGGTTAACCTAAGCTTAGTCGCAGGGCTTCACAAAAAAATATAAACCACATTTACCAAAAATATATATGTTAAAAAAACCCCTTGGATAAATTAAACATAAATTTAGTTGGTGAGTTGTGACCATCACCACATTTTCGGTTTCTTAGAATCTCTTTTTATACCCGTTACTCGTAGAGTAAAAGGGTATACTAGATTCGTCGGAAAGTATGTAACAGGCAGAAGGAAACGTTTCCGACCCCATAAAGTATATATATTCTTGATCAGGATCACTAGCCGAGTCGATCTAGCCATGTCCGTCTGACCGTCTGTCCGTCTGTCCGGATGAACGCTGAGATTTCGGAAACTATGGGAGCTAGGCTATTGAGATTTGGCGTGCAGATTCCTGAGCTTCTTACGCAGCGCAAGTTTGTTTCAGCACAGTGCCACGCCCACTCTAACGCCCACAAACCGCCCAAAACTGTGGCTCCTACAGTTTTGATGCTAGAATAAAAATTTTAACTGAAATGTATTGTTCTCATCAATACCTATCGATTGACCCAAAAAAAAGTTTGCCACGCCCACTCTAACGCCCATAACGCTTAAATCTGTAGACCGCCGGTAGGTGGCGCATTTTAATCTCGCTTTGCTGCTTGCATATCTCCATTTAGCTGAGTAACGGGTATCTGATAGTCGAGGTACTCGACTATAGCGTTCTTCCTTGTTTTTATTTATTTACATGGTTATATTTTTACTTATGATGGACAAAAAATTCGATGTTTAAAGTATATACTTTTACAAATATTAAAAATAATTATTTTTCAGCTCCCTGTGAACGCCGTTGTTCAATAAAACTGTAAAACTTAAGTACTTTTTAAAATAATCGTACATGAGATTTTTGTTTTGGTTGTATTAAAGAGCTTATATCTCAGAGTTCAATAATCCAACCGTTTGGGCGTTGACACTATTTGAAAATAGATAGATGAACCTTCTTGGGACATATGACATTTTGTGTATTTTGTTACTTGCCATAAAAGTTACCAAAAACAATGTTTTAGCCTTTTTTGTAAATACTTATTTTTCTTTTAAACTTTATTACCATGATACAAATTTTATAAATTATTTTCAGCAATTGATTGATAAGAAAGTTGTGTCCTTCAAAGGACCAACTTCGCAAAAATTTGGTTGTAAAAGTATTAAATTTCATTACTTCGAACTTTTCCTCAAAAAATTATAGGTTCGCTGGAATGTTGCCTGTTTGTTCAACTATTTTTTTATTGTGGGCATGCGATTTCACTCGATGCGCTTTACTCGTTATGGTCAGTTGATATATATCCACAGCTCTAATTTCTGGCGACTTCTACGACACTTTTCCCGTGTAGGCTTATGCTCAAAGCGATTCTCGTTTATTGGCCCATTTACATTTCAGTCTAACCTTAGTTGGCAAA